AGGAAATTCACAAACCACAGGAAACACGTCGAGCTCAACTTTGCTCTCCACCGACAATGATGCAAACAAACCAAACAACTGAGCTTCGTCCGCTAAAAGTTTCTTCAACTCTTTAGTGGAAAGAAAACTCTCGTCTTCGCCATCTTCCAAAGAAGGAAACCTTACTAACTTGTGATAGCAATCCAGATGAACTCTATTAAATTGCAACCAGTTCATACCCAAGATTACGTCCAAACCTTCCAACGGCAAACACACTAAATCCATAACGAACTCTTTACCATACATGGTCAAAGAACAACTTGCACACACCAAAGAAGTAGTTACCGACCCCGAAGCGGGAGTCCCAATAACCATACCACTACTCAAAGAAACCATACGCAAATCCAACCGCTTAGCACACGCAAGAGAAATGAACGAGTGAGTCGCTCCCGTATCAATAATAGCAACTAAAGGCGTATCATTAATAAAGCATGTACCTTTAATCAAACGATCTGCCGCGTTAGTAGCGTCTGAACCTGCTAATGCGAATACTTTTCCGCCCGCCTGAGCTTGCTTCGGTTTGGTACAATTCGGGCTAATGTGACCCACCTCGCCACAATTAAAACACTTCACAGCATTCTTTCTACATTCTGCTGCATCATGTCCAAAGAGCCCACAGTTGGAACACTTCGCCTTGAACTTTCCACAATCATAAGACTTGTGGCCCATCACGCCACACTTAAAACATTTGACCGCACCAGAACCTCCTTCGGGTCTCCTATCAAAGTTTCCCCTATGTTTGCCCTTATCTGCAGGCGTCACATAAGGTCCGCTTCGCACTTGTTGCTTCCCTCTCTTCTCGCTCAAACCCTTATAATGAGTAGAACGAGCTCTACTGTCTTCTTCATAAATCCTACAGCATTCGGTCAAATCCGAAAATCTTCTTATCCTTTGATAACCGACCGCTTGCTTTATCTCAGGACGCAAGCCATTCTCATACTTGATACATTTGGAAAATTCTGCCGTAACCACATCATAGTGAGGGTGAAACTTCACTAACTCAGTAAACTTAGCGGTGTAGTCCACCACCGACATATTACCTTGTTTCAACTCCAGAAATTCCATTTCTCTCTTCCCTTTAACACTTTCGGGATAATACTTCCTTAGAAACTCAGTACGAAATAAATCCCACGTAATTGTTTCCTCATTCACCTCAATAACTCGTCTCATACCGACCCACCATTCGTCGGCTTCTTCCCTCAGCATGTGAGTCCCAAGCCTCACCTTGTTCCCTTCAGCACAATCCATCACCCTAAAGATCCTCTCAATTTCCTTTAACCAGATCTGAGCACCATCCGGATCAAATCTCCCTTTGAACACCGGTGGTTGGTTCTTCCTGAACTCATCGTTCGCGTTCACGTTAGGTGCACCCTGCACAGCTCTGGCCATAGCCTCTAACGCCGCTGCCATAGCATTGTCATTACGACCTGCCATATTCTGAGGATTCCCAAAAATAACAACAAGGTTAAACAACCGTTCAACCAACACAACAACAAGACAGACACGACTGACTCAACACTGGCTCTGATACCACTTAATGTAACACCCCCTTTCTATACCCCCAAATAATCCATTTAATCATTTAGGCACTTATTTAAAATTTCATCAGAGTAATTCATAACACGGTATAAAAAGAGTATGCCACATTATACTTGAAATTAAACATACATACAACACCTGCTCATATAGATATGCAACATTAGGTAACTCACAAATAAGGAATTTAATTCCCAGACCCACAATTCATACATTTAGAATTAAAGCGGAACATCTAAATGTCGATTCATTCACATTCATAAAAGTGTATTTATACAACCATCAGTTAATTCATGCTTTACAAACATATCCACAGCAGATACATACACATATGTATCACAAAAGAATCAAAACAAAATAGCTTCAAAAGAGCCAAAGGCTTCCTAACTACCCAGATGTTACATATCAGAGCCATCGACCAAAAAAAGGAATGAAGACTAGCTCACCAAAAGGACCTCCAGCATCCTACTCTGCAAATGCCTCATAGAGCATCATAAAACAGCAGAAGGGTGAGAAACAACATCATAACAATTAATGCATAAAATTATATATATATATATATATATATATATATATATATAATTATACAAGTTATACACGAATCATGTTCTCACCATTAGTATCTAGCATATACAAATAATCATGTTTCTACACGTACACATGAACATTTACTATATGTTTCTCCCGACAAATCATGTATAACATACACAGTTATATTCATCCAACTAATGCATCATACACAAATGACTCATGCAACTCATAGAGACCGACACACGACTCTATGCAGATGCAAACGCGGTACCGACTCATTTCAACAGGTTCTCTAAGGAATCGAGTATTCAGCAGATTCTCCACGGAATCAAGTACTCAGCAGATTCTCCACGGAATCAAATATTCATCAGATTCTCCACGGAATCGAATATTCAGCAGATTCTCCACGGAATCAAGTACTCAGCAGATTCTCCACGGAATCAAATACTCTAATCAATCCTCCACGGGATTACATGTTATGACCGATTCTCCAAGGAATCACACAATGCAACCGATTCTCTAAGGAATCACACAATGCAACCGATTCTCCAAGGAATCTAATATAACCATCGTATCATACGAGGTTCTGCAAATCCTCCGAGGGATCAATCAACACAAAATGCATACATGTTTACAAACATACTCATGCATTTATCACATTTCATTGCATACATTCGTTATGCATTCATAATATATATATATATATATATATATATATATATCACCATACATATACATATTCATCATTCAATTTCACACCATTTCATACACTAGGATTCACGCTATTATGGCTACCCACAGCACAACAATTAACAACATAAATCACTTCCCTAATATAAGGTTAAATCATACTCGAATCGGATCACCAACCTCAGATGAAACACACAAGAAAAATCACATCCTGCTACGTTCGCCACTCGTTCGCCTAGCGAGCTCATAGCGAACATTCGCTACATGTTCGCTTAGCGAGCAAGCTCGCGAAGGCAAACAGAACCCACGAACTTGGTTCGCTACCTCGTTCGCCACAGCGAACCCCCAGCGAGCCATTCGCTACTCCCTTCGCTGCCAGCGAAGGAGGCCAAAACACCACTGTCCCAAGTCTGGGACCATTTGCCACACACTCGCCTAGCGGGCTGCTAGCGAGCGTTCGCTGCGCCTTCGCCTAGCGAGCTGCTAGCGAGTCGCCTGCGAACAGCCATAGCAGATTCTGTTCCAGCTCCTCCCAACTCGCCGAAATCACCCGATTAAATCCAACTCATGTCTAGTAGCCTTAGTCTAACCTATATTGACTAATCTACATCATTTATTCCAGTTTCCAACCGATTAAAAATGATTTCTATCGATTAATCCATTTGCCCTAACATTGAAAAATAGTGGGAAACTCACAACAATCCAAACACACACATACAATCATATACATTAAAGAGATGATGGAGTTTCACACCCTTACCGATCGATTGCAAGTTTTGGTGATGATTTCTTGATGATTCTAGGTTTTCCTCTCCACTTTCTCTTCTCTTTCTCTTCTCCTCTTTTCTTTCCCTTGTTTTCCTTCTTATGTTTCTATTTTCTTTCTTTTTTCTCTCTTATTCTATTTCTATCTCCATTTCTTTCCTCTCAAATTCTTTCCAACACTTACCAATCAATTCTCACACTAAATTGCTAAATGTCTAAAATACCCTTTTTACTCTAATTCCCCGAAAACTCTCTGAATCGGTAAAAATAGATAAAATAAGCAAACACAACATAATAACATATAATTTCTCAATTTAAAACAAACATCAATTAAATAAATTAAAAGACTCGACAATTAATGGGAATTCAGAATCGGGGCGTTACATTTTACCCTAGGAACCCTGACTTAGCAACTCCAACCACTCTTGAGTCTCTTGAATTGAACTTGAAGCGACATCTCAAATGCTTTACCATATCATTTCATGATCTCAATGACTTAGAAGTAGGCTTTGATCCTCTTCAATAACTCATCTGGACTTAGGATCAACCAGATGAAACCCTAGTTGGCCTTTATACTTGCTACAAACATTGGACTGAGCTTGGTCTTGATCCTCTAGGGACTCCATGAACTCCATCCACACATTATATCCATACCCAAGGCTTCATAACCTCTGATACTCTCCAAATTGCCCCTCATGCTTGGAGATAAACCCCATACAAGTAGTCAAACTCCTTAAGGACACCACCTTTTGACTGATGATCTTAATGGCTTCTTAAACTTGAATAAGACATATGGCTAGACTTTTCATGAGATGCACCACACTTGATCCCCTGCTACATGGGCAATGTTATGCTATGAAAATGTTAGAACTATGTTAGAACAATGCTATGTTATGCAGTGAAACATAAACCAAGTGTTAAAAAGGTTGGTCAAATTTTGGGGTGCAACAGCTAAGTCTATAGGTTCCTGATCATCCTCAAACTCAATTTTCGGAAAACTAACATCTATTTTTAAATCCTGAAGTAGCTGATTTTTATAAAACTACTTTAAAAATATTTTGTTTTATGTAAGTATTTTTATAGAACACATTGGGATTCATGTGAATATAATGAGTAATAAATGTCCACACTTAATGATGTTCATCCCTAGCACATGACAAATATAATTTGTTTTTTCATTTTTATTTTGACAGGTTCGAATAGAGTTTATGGATTTATATAGCTACTTGATTCCTGTGTACGAAATATAGCCTTTTGAGAAGATTATAGATGCATATATTGATCAATATCTATGGTATGAAGGTGACAAATGTCATCTCTTTCCCAACTGGATATAGCCAGCAAATTCAGAACCACCACCTCTTTTGGTTTACAAATGGTGTCAAGGTATAAACAATTTGCAAGGTATCTGGGACACCGGTGATGGTCAGTGCATTGTGATGTTGCAGACCAAGTTTGAGAAATTTTTCGAGAAGATTGATTTAACAATGTTAAATAGGTATGCATATTTGTAAATTATATTTTTGAATGAAATTACTGCTTTCTTGAAATCTAATTTATTTATAATATTATAGGCTTATCTGTTTGGTTTTAGACCACAACATTACTGATTATGTCACTGCAAAAAACAATGTTTTCTTGTCTTATGGTCTGGTATTGGATCTTTTGCTTCTTGGATTGACTCGAGCAAGTGAGATTGCTGGACCGCCGCAAATGCCTAATGAGTTCATTACTTACTAGGACACCAAAGTTGAGACAAGGCGTCCAATTAAGCTGTATTCTCGGTACATTGACCAAGTTCACATATTATTTCACTTCACACATATTAGAAGTGTCACGTAGAATAGCAGGAGTAGTTGTCATTTTCTCTTAATGGTTACCGAATGTGAGTATGTGCCTCAACAGGGGAAACACCATTCTCTCTCGTGTATGGTATGTTACACCAACATCTGTTTACTGACTGTGTCGTAGATCACTTTGTGGAATCAAAATGTGACCCATATACAACATTCTAAATAAGTAGAACACTGAGTATATTAGGCATGCTCTTGTTGACCATGGGCAGCTAAATGAATTGCAGGTATCACCTGTCGAACATGCATTGGGGGAGCACCCAAGAAATTACACAACATTACCAGTTCGCCTAGCGAGAGAGCCTACAGGCCGACGCCTTAGTCCGTGTTTCAAGACGGGTCGAATGGGGAGCCCACAGGCCGATGCCAGGAGCACGCAAGTGCTGAAGCACACCGAATCAGCTTGTGCTGCCGTCCAAATCGTGATGAAGACGTCTCCGTGAGCATTTCAACAACCCAGGCTTGGGCCACCATCACAATCCGCTTCGGTCGATGTCTCGAGTCGATACAAGAAGTAAAAGATCTAATATCAGACCATAAGACAAGAAAACATTGTTTTTTGCAGTGACATAATCAGTAATGTTTTGGTCTAAAACCAAACAGAGAAGCCTATAATATTATAAATAAATTAGATTTCAAGAAAGCAGTAATTTCATTCAAAAATATAATTTACAAATATGCATACCTATTTAACATTGTTAAATCAATCTTCTCGAAAAATTTCTCAAACTTGGTCTGCAACATCACAATGCACTGACCATCACTGGTGTCCCAGATACCTTGCAAATTGTTTATACCTTGACACCATTTGTAAACCAAAAGAGGTGGTGGTTCTGAATCTGCTGGCTATATCGAGTTGGGAAAGAGATGACGTTTGTCACCTTCATACCATAGATATTGATCAATATATGCATCTATAATCTTCTCAAAAGGCTATATTTCGTACACAGGAATCAAGTAGCTATATAAATCCATAAACTCTATTCGAACTTGCCAAAATAAAAAACAAATTGTATTTTTCATGCGCTAGGGATGAACATCATTAAATATGGACATTTATTACTCATTATATTCACATACTTATTTGAAGGCACATTGGGTGAGGAGGTGTCGACTGGTTTGGTCGATATAGCAGTCATATTTTGATGTGTGTACACATCAGATCGAATGGTGAGCCATTGTTCATATCGAATGGTGAACCATTGTTAGTTATTCACATGTAATATAAGCAATAATAATTAATTAATAAAATTAATAATAATAATAATAATTAGTGGATGAGAATCTTTTTATTTTCATGAAAATAAGTGGTAACCACCAATAACTTCTCACGTCTATTTATCTATGTCTTTTATTTTTTATTTTAGATGGGATTGTGGTTCTAGAAGGGATTCATGTTAGACGGGATTCTGGTTCTAGAAGGGATTCATGTTATATAATACACACAGTGTGTTATAGACCCAATGTGTTCTATAGGTTTTAGTCATGAGGCTAAGTCTATAGGTTCCTGATCATCCTCAAACTCAATTCGGAAAACTAACATTTTATTTTTAAATCCTTAAGTAGCTGATTTTTATAAAACTACTTCAAAATTATTTTGTTTTATGTACGTATTTTTATATACCAATTATTCTTAAATGCAGAGAATGCAACTTACTACGTCGTCCCAATGTTGGAACCACGTGTCAAATATTTCATAACATTGTTCCAACGTTGGGCGCATGAGTTAAATAGTTATTGTAAAAAATATTTATTTAGCAATAGCAGGGTTATGCATTTTTAAATCCTTAAGTCATGATTTTTTTTTAAAACCCAATCATATTGCACTATTAGGTCTAATGTAAATTAATTTTATTGACAAAAAGGCGGTCAAACACAATAAGTTTTACATTGTTATCACTCTGAGAAATCAATAACTGACAATAAGTACTGGAAGCAACTTTAATTTCAGTAGGTTCATCAACAATGATAGTAGAATTTGAATTAAAAAAAGATATACTAATCTTCATATATTTTCCCTTGTCTGTGTCGACTTCATTTCCTCGTTGGCTCACAAGGATCATCGTCAACACGAGGGTTGATTGGTATCATGAAGGGAGGGACGTGTTGATGACAAACCTCATTTCTTCTTCTACGCAAAAGGGCTCATGAGTTAAATATTTATTGTAAAAAATATTTATTAAGCAATAGGAGGGTTATACATTTTTAAATGCCGACCCAACAAAAGGGCCCAAGTTGCCCAGGACGCCTCAGCTATGCTCCACCAAGTCTACTTGAAGTTGGAAATAGAAAGGGAAAATACAAGAAGAAAAGAAAACTAAGAAACTTAATTGATTTGAAAACGTTACTGTAATATAAAAAAAGTTTCTTTCTTCAGCGTGGACAGAGGTACGCAATTGAATTCCATGCCTGAAATTTGAAAAGAAAAAAATTAATTTACCCAATGTTTTCTATAATACACACAGTGTGTTCTATTATAGACCCAATGTGTTCTACGGTAAACGGCGGGAGTAACTGTGACTCTCTTACGGTAGCCAAATGCCTCGTCATCTAATTAGTGACTTGCATGAATGGATTAACGGTTCCTCTGTTACTAGGTTGAATTAATATTGCGACGGTCTAACTAACCTGTCTCACGATGGTGTAAACCCAGCTCACGTTCCCTATTGATGGGTGAACAATCCAACACTTGGTGAATTGTGCTTCACAATGATAGAAAGAGCCGACATCGTTGGATCAAAAAGCAACGTCACTATGAACGCTTGGCTGCCACAAGCCAGTTATCCATGTGATAACTTTTCTGACACCTCTAACTTCAAATTCCGAAGGTCTAAAGGATCGATAGGCCACGCTTTCAGGGTTCGTATTCGTACTGGAAATCAGAATCAAACAAGCTTTTACCCTTTTGTTCCACACAAGATTTCTATTCTCGTTGAGCTCATCTTAGGACACATGCGTTATCTTTTAACAGATATGCCACCCCATACAAACTCCCCACCTGACAATGTCTTCCGCCTGGATCGACCAACCAAAGTCAGCCTTGGATCCAAAAAGAGGGGCAGCGCCCCGCCTCCGATTCACGGAATAAGTAAAATAACATTAAAAGTAGTGGTATTTCACTTTCGTTGTTTCCAGCTCCCACTTATCCTACACCTCTGAAGTCATTTTACAAAGTCGGACTAGAGTCAAGCTCAACAAGGTCTTCTTTCCCCGCTGATTCCACCAAGCCCGTTCCCTTGGTTGTGGTTTCGCTGGATAGTAGACAGGGACAACTAGAGGAACAGCTACCCGAAAGAGTACAAGACCTTCTAATAGAAGAGCCAATTGAGACGGAACACCAGAATTTGGATGATGGTATAATTCTTTTCTCTACACCAGTGGGTGATTTCCTTATTATTATCGTTTTGTATTATGTTTGTCAAAATATAAAAATTAATCATTAGTAGGACAAAAACCTCAATTATAGTTGCCAGAAGGCTATCTGTCTAAGCTATATTAGTTAACTCTACTAAGCTTGGATTATACAACTAACTTAGACTAATCTTATTACATTCTCTAATAAGTATATACTACATTGTGCTTACACCCATCATATGGCAGTCGAGGACAACCAAAAGAAGCATTATGGAAGGAAAAGAAAAAGCATATGGAGTTCAAAATAAAATGAAGACGAATGCAGTGATGGAAAGTCGGAAAAAGAATCAAAGAGTCATAACCCCTACTGGTCATATATGACTCCTACTAGATATAACCCCTACTAGAGTCATAACCCCTACTGGTCATATATGACCCCTACTAGATATAACCCCTACTAGAGTCATAACCCCTACTGGTCATATATGACCCCTACCATATTTTTGGCGATGATGCCAGGGAGATGTGCTTCAGCTCCATTAACGGACAAGTAATTAGCTGACTGGTTCGTCGACACTGTACGACCAGAATTCTATGAAAGAATGGTGGGAAGTGTAGCTGCAAGTTTCTCCAATTTGGTGTCAGTAGGAGTCAAAGTGGAGACGGGTTTGAAGAACGGAAGGATGACTAGTGCAGCCAGTAGCTCTAACAATGGTACAAAGAAATTTCCAGGAAGTTTTCAGTGAAAGAAGGAAGGGAATACGAATGCAGTGATGACAAGTCGGAAAAAGAATCAAAGAGTCATAACCCCTACTAGTCATATATGACTACTACTAGATATAACCCCTACTATAGTCATAACCCCTACTAGATATAACCCCTACTAGAGTCATAACCCTTACTGGTCATATATGACCCCTAATAGAGTCATAACCCCTACTGGTCATATATGACCCATACTAGATATAACCCCTACTAGAGTCATAACCCCTACTGGTCATATATGACCCCTACTGATCTAACCCCTACTAAAATAACCCTTACTAGGATATATATATATATATATATATATATATATATATATATATATATATATATATATATATATATATATATATATATATATATATATAACCCCTACTGAGATAACCCCTACTAACCCCAACTGAGATAACCCTTACTAAGACAAAAAAGGCTACAAGTATGCATATGTAACTAAAATATTAGGTTTTATAAAAGAATGGTGGGAAGTCTAGCTGCAAGTTTCTCCGATTAGGTACAGATTTTTAAACATGATATCAACATACAAGACAAAGATATTCAAACATGATATCAACATACAAGACAAAGATATTCAAACATGATATCAATACATAAATGATGAAGATGATAAATGATGCAAATGTTGACCAAAATTTCTTTCAGGATCTTAGTAACTTCCAATTGAAACTGTTGTCTGTAGCTCTGTTCTAAAGTTGACATCCTTACATGTATGTTAGTGAGTTTTGGTGAGCCACCAAGCTGAAGAAACAAAGTATGTTACAGAGACATGTATAGGTTTTTCCTTTTTTTCTACCCTTGTGGATTTCCCAATCTGTCCCCCGATCGGCACGCGGCGATCCGCTCTCGCTGCGGGAGCAGCTCAAGCAGTCCACCAACAGCCGACGGGTTCGGAACTGGGACCCCCGTGCCCAGCCCTCAGAGCCAATCCTTTTCCCGAGGTTACGGATCCATTATTCCGACTTCCCTTGCCTACATTGTTCCATCGACCAGAGGCTGTTCACCTTGGAGACCTGATGCGATTATAAGTACGACCGAGCATGGAAGGCACTCGGTCCTCCGGATTTTCAAGGGCCGCCAGGGGCGCACCGGACACCATGCAACGTGTGGTGCTCTTCCAGTCGCTGGACCCTACCTTCGGCTGAGCCGTTTCCAGGGTGGGCAGGCTGTTAAACAGAAAAGATAACTCTTTCCGGGGCCCCGCCAACGTCTCTGGACTCCCTAATGTTTCCGTCAGCCACCACGTCTCGGTTCAGGAATTTTAACCCGATTCCCTTTCGGTGTACGTGCTTAGAGCGCTATCAGACGGGCTTCCCCCGTCCCTTAGGATCGACTAACCCATGTGCAAGTTCCGTTCACATGGAGCCTTTCCCCTCTTCGGCCTTCAAAATTCTCATTTGAATATCTACTACTACCACCAAGACTGCACCGACGATCGCTCCGCCCAGGATCGCACCCCGAGTTTTGCAGCGACCTTCGCGCCCTCCTACTCATCGGGGCCTGGCCCTTGCCCCAACGGCCGGGTATAGGTTGCGCACTTTAGCGCCATCCATTTTCCTAGTTGATTCGGCATGTGAGTTGTTACACACTCCTTAGCGGATTTCGACTTTCATGACCACTGTCCTGCTGTCTTAATCGGCCAACACCCTTTGTGGGGTCTAGGTTAGCGCGCAGTTGGGCACCGTTACCCAGCTTCTGGTTCATCCCGCATTGCTAGTTCTTCTTACCAAAAATGGCCCACTTGGAGCTCTCGATTCCATGGCATGGCTCAATAGGGCAGCCACACCGTCCTACCTATTTAAAGTTTGAGAATAGGTCAAGGGCGTTGCGCCCCCGATGCCTCTAATCATTGGCTTTACCCGATAGAACTCGCCCTCGGGCTCCAACTATCCTGAGGGAAACTTCGGAGGGAACCAGCTACTAGAAGGTTCGATTAGTCTTTCGCCCCTATACCCAAGTCAGACGAACGATTTGCACATCAGGATCGTTGTAGGCCTCCACCAGAGTTTCCTCTGACTTCGCCCCGCTCAGGCATAGTTCACCATCTTTCGGGTCCCGACAGGTATGCTCTCACTCGAACCCTTCACAAAAGATCAGGGTCGGTCGGCGGTGCAACCCACAAGAGGATCCCACCAATCATCTTCCTTGTACCTTACGGGTTTACTCGCCCATTGACTCGCACACATGTCAGACTCCTTAGTCTGTGTTTCAAGACGGGTCGAATGGGGAGCCCACAGGCTGACGCCAGGAGCACGCAAGTGCCGAAGCACGGGAATCAGCACGCGCTGCCGTCCATAATCGTGATGATAACGTCTCCGCGAGCATTTCAACAACCCAGGCTTGGGCCACCATCACAATTCGCGTCGGTCGATGTCTCGAGTCGATTGGCGGACCGACATGAACTATTCCACATCTGACTGCGACACATCGCCGGCCCCCATCCGCTTCCCTCCCAACATTTTCAAGCACTCTTTGACTCTCTTTTCAAAGTCCTTTTCATCTTTCCCTTGTGGTACTTGTTCGTTATCAGTCTCTCGCTAATATTTAGCCTTGGACGGAATTTACCGCCCGAGTGGGGCTGCATTCCCAAACAACCCGACTCGCCGACAGCGCCTCGTGGTGCGACGGGTTCGAGCATAACGGGGCTCTCACCCTCTTCGGCGCCTCCTTCCGGGGGACTTGGGCCCGGTCCGCCGCTGAGGACGCTTCTCCAGACTATAATTCGAACGCCGAGGGCGACCGATTCTCATGGTGTGCTTATCCCGGTTCGCTCGCCGTTACTAAGGGAATCCTTGTTAGTTTCTTTTCCTCCGCTTATTGATATGCTTAAATTCAAAGAGTAACCCCGCCTGACCTGAGGTCTCATCACGAGCGTTTAGAAACACGCATATGGCTAAAAGAGGCCAAATTTAATAGAGCAGCGCATGATTGGTCTCGTGGGTCACACAACCACCATTTATCATGACACACCCTACCAAGGTCTCAATTCTCAACCAACCATGAGAAGAAAGAGCTCACGGGAGGCCAACATCCACTCTGCACAATACTTGTCAAAAGGAAATTAGCAGGAGACTTCGATATGTGACACCTAGGCAGACGTGCCCTTAACCTAATGGCATCGGGCGCAACTTGCATTCAAAAACTCGATGGTTCACGGGATTCTGCAATTCACACCAAGAGTCATTCTATATAATGTGTCAAAACCCAACCCGCACGAAAACCTTCTCCGGTGCCATGCGGATGCACTCAGAGCAAAGTTAAAATTCCTTGACGCATTCAGCGCCGGGGTTTGAGTTTTGGGACAGAGGAGAACGCACTTCGTCGTCCGCCTCCGAAACCAGTGGCAAGCCGGGGTGTGGAACACCTCAAGCCCACCGTATGTGTTCAAACTAATTCACGTGTTGGACTGCATGTAAGGCATCGACAATGATCCTTCCGCAGGTTCACCTACGGAAACCTTCTTACGACTTCTCCTTCCTCTAAATGATAAGGTTCAGTGGACTTCTCACAATGTCGCGGGCATCGAACCGCCCACGTCGTCGCGATCCGAATACTTCATCGGGCCATTCAATCGGTAGGAGCGACGAGCGGTGTGTACAAAGGGCAGCGGTGTAGTTAACGCGAGCTGATGACTCGCGCTTACTAGAAATTCCTCATTGAAGACCAACAATTGCAATGATATATCCCGATCACGATGAAATTTCAAAGATTACCCGAGCCTGTCGGCCAAGGCTATAGACTCGTTGAATACATCAATGTAGCGCGCGTGCGACCCAGAACATCTAAGGGCATCACAGACCTGTTATTGCCTCAAACTTCTGTGGCCTAAGCGGCCATAGTCCCTCTAAGAAGCTGGTCGTGGAGGGTTACCTCCACATAGCTATTTAGCAGGCTGAGGTCTCGTTCGTTAACGGAATTAACCAGACAAATTGCTCCACCAACTAAGAACGACCATGCACCACCACCCATAGAATCAAGAAAGAGCTCTCAGTCTGTCAATCCTTACTATGTATGGACCTGGTAAGTTTCCCCGTGTTGAGTCAAATTAAGCCCCAGGGTCCACTCCTGGTGACAACACAATCCTAGTCATTTTTCATCGTTTGCATTCGGTGTGTGTTTTTTGTTCCTGTTTGTCTTGCCTATAAAATGCTAAACAAGTGGTCGGGTTAGGTTTGAACCATCCCACACCATTTCTTGGTGTTGAGGTGGCTTTTGAAGTGATGTGTGTGTGCCGTTTTAGATGTCGCTGCGGCGTCTCTTGCGGTATGCATGTATTCGCTGATTTCTTGGAGGCGGTACTTGAGATGACCTTTGGTTTATCCTATTATGGCCCTTACTAATGGTTGTTTAAAATTATGCCATACTCTTTTGCACGTTTTGCTCTGCTTTGGGGGCGCAAAACTTGCACTATGGGCAGAGTCATTAATGGATGCTACCTGGTTGATCTTACCAGTAGTCATATGCTTGTCTCAAAGATTAAGCCATGCATGTGTAAGTATGAACTAATTCAGATTGTGAAACTGCGAATGGCTCATTAAATCAGTTATAGTTTATTTGATTGTATCAACTACTCGGATAACTGTAATAATTCTAGAGCTAATACATGCAACAAACCCTGACTTTTGGAAGGGATGCATTTATTAGATAAAAGGTCAACGCAGGCTCTGCTTGTTGCTTTGATGATTCATGATAACTCGCCGAATCGCACAGCCTTTGTGTTGGCGACGCATCATTCAAATTTCTGCCCTATCAACTTTCGATGGTAGGATAGTGGCCTACCATGGTGGTGACGGGTGATGGAGAATTAAGGTTCGATTCCCAAGAGGGAGCCTGCGGCTTAATTTGACTCAACACGGGGAAACTTACCAGGTCCAGACATAGTAAGGATTGACAGACTGAGAGCTCTTTCATGATTCTATGGGTGGTGGTGCATGGCCATTCTTAGTTGGTGGAGCGATTTGTATGGTTAATTCCGTTAACAAATGAGACCTCAGCCTGCTAAATATCTATGCGGAGGTAACCCTTCACGGCCAGCTTCTTAGAGGGACTATGGCCACTTAGGCCATGTAAGTTTGGCGCAATAACAGGTCTGTGATGCCCTTAGATGTTCTGGGCCGCACGCGCGCTACACTGATGTATTCAACAAGTCTATAGCCTTGGCCGACAGGCCCGGGTAATCTTTGAAATTTCATCGTGATGGGGATAGGTCATTGCAATTGTTGGTCTTCAACGAGGAATTCCTAGTAAGTGCGAGTCATCAGCTCGCGTTAACTACGCCGTTGCCCTTTGTACACACCGCCCGTCGCTCCTACCGATTGAATGGTCTGGTGAAGTGTTCGGATTGCGGCAACGTGGGAGGTTTGATACCCGCGACGTTGTGAGAAGTCCACTGAACCTTATCATTTAGAGGAAGGAGAAGTCATAAGAAGGTTTCCGTAGGTGAACATGCGGAAGGATCATTGTCGATGCCTTACATGAAGTCCAACACGTGAATTAGTTTGAACATATACGGCGGGCTTGAGGTGTTCCACACCCCGTCTTGCCACTGGTTTCGGAGGCGGACGACGAAGTGCGTTCTCCTCTGTCTCAAAACTCAAACCCCGACGCTAAATGCGTCAAGGAATTTTAACTTTGCTCTGAGCGCATCCGCGTGGCACCGAAGACGGTTTCCTTGCGGGTTGGGTTTTGACACATTATATAGAATGACTCTCGCAACGGATATCTAGGCTCTTGCATCGATGAAGAACGTAGCGAAATGCGATACTTGGTGTGAATTGAAAAATCCCGTGAACCATCGAGTCTTGGAAAGCAAGTTGCGCCCGATGCCATTAGGTTGAGGGCACGTCTGCCTGGGTGTCACATATTGAAGCCTCCTGCCAATTTCCTTTTGACAGGTATTGTGCAGGGTGGATGTTGGCCTCCCGTGAGCTCTTTCGTCTCATGGTTGGTTTAAAATTGAGACCTTAGTATGGTGTGCCATGATAAATGGTGGTTGTGTGACCCACGAGACCAATCATGCGCTGCTCTATTGAAGTTGGCATTTTTTACCCATATGCGTGTTTCTAAACGCTCGTGATGAGACCTCAGATCAGGCGGGGCTACCCTCTGAATTTAAGCATATCAATAAGCATAGGAAAAGAAACTAACAAGGATTCCCTTAGTAACGGCAAGCGAAACGGGATAAGC